GTGCTTCCCTTCTATTTGATTTAAGCACTGCCAGAATCTGACCCCTCCAGTAACCTACAGGCCCCATAGGTCCTGCTTTTCCATCATGGCGGCCCTGGCAAAGTGCCCTCTCTTTCCACAATAAAAGCAGTGCTCGTGACCTTTATGGAGGTGCTGAATGAACAGAGGCTGAAAAGGAGGTGGTGGAGGCCAGAAGTCCAGATGCTGCCAGGAGAGGCTTAGGCTGGGCCTTGTGTTTGCGCATTGGCGCTTTCCCCTCTGGATCATCTCATCTGGCATCTCACTGCTCTCGGATCCGATTATCATCTCTATGAAGGCGTGTCCAGTCCTAACCTCTCTGTAGACCCTGAGTCCCACATCACCAACTCTTCTGGATGTCTCAAGCTGGATGGTCTGTGCACATCTAAACTCAGTGTGTCCAAATGGAGTTCTTTGCCTTCCCGTTACCCTGCTCCTAACTTCTCTATCACTGTGGAGGGCAATCACTGCAGTACTCATTCTCATTCGCCTGCCCAAAATGTGGCCCAAAGCTGTCATTTCTGCCATTACAACAAACCTCCCGTATATCCCCTTTCTTCTCCTCACACAGCGGCCATATGCATTCTGGCCCTCCACCTGTTCCTGTCACCTGGACTTTGGTAAAAAGCTTCCAACCTGTCTTCCCACCTTGTCTTTCCAGCTCTAGTGCCCCCTACCCTCAGCTGCCCAGGTGATTTTCCTAAAGCTCAGGTCTGACCATGTAAATGCCCCCCCCCCAAAGTCTCCCTATGACTTCCAGGGACAAATAAAAACTCCTTTGTCTGGTCTTTAAAGCTGTCCGTAATCTGGCTCCTCTTTACCTCCTAAGTCTTCTCACACTACACTTCAGACATTCCGTGATCTAGCCAGGACGTCTGCTTGCTGTTCACTCAATCTCCCACCTCCATACCTTTGCACTGCCTGTCCCCAGACAGGGGAAGTTCTCCCCTCTCATATTCACCTCTTAGTTTCTCTTCCTTCCTCCAGGATACTCAAAACCCAGCTCCTTGTGCTCGAGGAACTTGCATTGTATAACCAGGATACAGGCAGGATACACTGGAGATGATCGATTGAATAAAGGGAGACAGGATTTTAGCTGGGACTTGAAGGAAGCCAGGGGAAGCTGGGAGGCAGGGATGGGGAAGGAGGGCATCCTAGACCTGGGGGCAGGCAGAAAAAAGGCCCAGAATCAGGGGATTTTACCTCCCTTTGTATCTCTACTGCTTCGCACAGTGCCTCTCCCATAGTAGGTTCTTAAATGCTTGCTGCCTGCCTGCCTGCCTGCCTGCCTGGTACAGATGGTCCTTTGGGAGAATGTTGCTGGGTGCTTACCTCCCTCCTGTAATCAGAGTTAGGTCTCTCCTGTTCTAAAGGCCCTTTCCCTTGGGGAGCCCATTCTGCTTACTCCAAGGTCTCATCTGCTCCCTTCCTTGCACAGCTAAGTACCTTCAGGCAACCTTCACCTCTGCCTGTTCTCCATCAGGAGTATTCCCATCTTTGGTCCCTCCCTGCAGCATGGTCTCTTCCTCCATATCTCTCCTGCCCCTTCCCTGTGGAAGAGGCACCAGGACCACCTCTTCTTCCTCCTCAGACTTCTTGTGTGTTTAGACACACAGGGGTCAAACAGGAGCCTGTCATAGACCTCAGGTGGCCCACAGCGCTCTGGCACACAGCCAAAACCAATTACAATATAATTGGGAAACATTTAACAAAATAAATAAAAATACAATACAATAAAGATAGCATCACATTTTACAACTAAGTTAGTCTGCAGTGGGCAGCCCATGGGCACCCTTATGTACATATTAGTGGCTCCTTTTCTGTTGGAGTACATCAGGCTGACCATCCTCTCCCGGAATCTGTCTCCTCCCTCGTTTTCCATGCCTTTGGACTGCCCTGCCTGGGTGGTGCCGTCCACCCCCCAGGGTCTTCTTTCTGTTCCTCACCTTCCACACGACATCTTCTAGCTCTGTGCCTTCCTCGTGGTGGTCCTCCAGGTCTGGAATGTTCTTCTTCCTCTCCTCCACCTTCTGGTTTCCCTGGCTGCCTTCATGACCCACCTCAAACCCTACCTTCTCCAGGAAGCCTTCCTTTCTTGGTGCTTCCCCTGCCCTACTGCCAGTGCCTCTGAGACGACCTTCCTTTGATTTTACACACACACACACACACACACACACACACACACACACACACCATCTACAGATGGTGTGTGTGTGTGTGTGTGTGTTTGTTGCTAAGTCATTCACTTGTGTTTGATTCTTTATAATCCCATGGGTCGAAACCCAATTTCTGCCAGAATTTTGTGCTTCTTTGCAGAACATGCATCTTACCAATTCTCCACAGAAACCTGATTGCCTTGTAACCTACTCTGAAGGTAGGGTAGGAGGGAGCAGGGGGTGTGAGCTTGTGTTCACAGTGTTTATTCATCTCTACCTAACATAATGTAATCTACAGATTGATGTAATAGCCTAGCTTCATTTGTTCAGTTTACTTCCTGAGGTGTCTAGTGCCTAGAGGGAGAACCCGTTGAGGGCAACCAGGGCAGACCTGGGACTGGTATGAAATTCCAAAGATGAAAAGAAGGGAAGAAATGATGCTGTGGACGGTCCAGATGCTTTATTCTTCCTGCCAGCAGGCTGCAGGTTCTTGCTGGCCTTAGGAATCTGAGCATTGAGCCTTCAATCAATCAGTTAATCAATGAGCAGTTATGAAGTACCTTCTATGTGTCAGTCACCATGCAAGTCCCCAAGTACACAAAGACAAAAAAATGAGATGGGGAAGGTGGGGATTCAAGGACAGATCAGTGCTTGAGCTGGTGATTGTGGGCCTGAGCCAAGCCCTGCAGAAGCCTTGACCCTTCTAGTAGGTAAAGAAGCAGCAGAAGGACCCAACTGGGCAGAGGAAATCCACTGCCTCACGTGCCCATGGGGAGTTCAGACTCAGCTCCCCATAGCCTGCTCTGGGGCTGGGAGTCAACGACTGACTCCTGTGTCCCAGGAACCAGGTAAAGGAGATTAATCTGGATGCTCCAACCTTATGAGAAGTCAAGAAAGTCAGGGAAAGTCAGGGTGAGCCTCCGGGAATAGCGGGGTGGGAATCTGAATCCATGGTGGGTTTGCAGCCAGAATGAGTAGTGATTTTTGGAAACCAGCCTGGCAGTAGCTGAGAAGAGGCTTATCCAGCACAGTGCCACATTTGGGTGAGAATACGGGCAAAGACTGAGCTCAGAGTGGGCCCCCCTCACTGGGGTCTGAGATGTGAAGGGGAGACTGGATCCCTGAAGCACCCCTTGGGGGATGTTAGTACCCGTGTTCTTGCTCCGTCTGCAAAGTAAATAGCGCTTTTTAAAAGCTAATCGATGCCAAGTGCCTGACAGGGGCTGGGCTCTAGTCACTGGGGAAAACACCACTGGGGGGCCTTGAGTAGAAGAGAAGAACCCCTCCTCCAAGCCCTTGAGGATATCCTAGACCCTGAGGAGGCTTTGGGAGAGTGAGCCAGAGCAATTGGGATAAATGTGTGTGCTTTAGATGAACTTACCTGTGGATTTATAGCCCTTATCCCCAAGAGAATGTTAACTCCTTGAGAAGCAGGGATGGCTTCACTTCTGCCTCTGTGCCACCAGCACCTGTCATACTGTCGGGCTCATGCCAGGTGCTTAATAAATGTGTATGGAATTTATTTGAAAATGGAAAGAATGCCAAAGGGAGAAGCTGCTCCAGATGTGGTCCAGAGTAGGGAGATTCCTGTCTCCATCCACAAAGGCAGAAAGTCTGCCTGATGCTCACAGACAGGCAACCCTAATGTGTGGCACCTCCAGCCGGGGCCCAGGGTCCCCAGTCAGAGGCTGCTGAGAGCTTTCACATGCAGGAGGTAGTGGATCCATCCTAGGCTGGAGGGTGGGATTGGAGCCTTTAGCAAAGGCTCTGGGACAATCTTTGAAGATGCAACCAGGAAAAAACTAAGGGCTGCTGGGGGGCTGGGGGCTCCCTGGGAACTGGGACAAGTGGCTCTTGGATAGAACTTGGGTCAGTGGGTCCCCTGGCACTGAACATTCAGGCTGGGAGGCAAAAGCAGAGATGGGCAGGAACTCAGTTCTGGGGAGGAGCTGGTTCCCAGTGCTCCCCAATCCTGGCTCCCCTGTGGGATGGGCTCATTCTGGCTTCTTCGCAACCTCAGCCCTAGACCACAGTACTTCCCCTAGGGGATCTTTGTCCTGTCCTTCTCTGAGGGAGGCAAGTGGGGGCCAAGGCTCAGCCTTGTGGTGGGGGGAAGAGAGGATCTTTAATACCTGAGAGATGCAGGAGTGGGCTGAGGGAGGAGTCTTAAATGTTGGGGTAGTCTAGTATGTGCCTGGAACATAATAAATACTTAATAAATGCTCTTCCTTCCTTCCTTCTTTCCTTCCTTCTTTTCTTTCCTCCCTCCCTCCCTTCCTTCCTTCCTCCCTCCCTTTCTTCTCTCCTTCCCTTTTTTCTCTCCTTCCCTCCCTACCTCCTTTTCTTCCCTCCCTCCCTCTCTCCCTTCTTCCTTCCCTCCCCCCTCCCTTCCATCCTTCCTTCCTTCCTTCCTTCCTTCCTTCCTTCCTTCCTTCCTTCCTTCCTTTCTTCCTTCCTTCCTTCCTTCTTTTCTTTCCTGCCATCAGATTCTGCCTGCTGGATGTGCAATGTCATTGCCCAGATGTAGTGGGAAGAGCCTTGGGGTCCAGAATGCTAGGCTCTAACTCTGTCTCTGCCAGGAACTAACCATGGTACTTGGGGCTTCACTGTCCTTGTCTGTATAATCCATGTGGATGCGATGATCTCCAGGGCGATCCCTCTGAGTCTGCCTTCTTAGGGGGCTCTCAGTAGCCAGGAACACTGGGGTGTGGAAAGTTGGGTTTATCTTGACTTCAGGGGACAGAAGGGAAAGCACTCTTCCTCCTCCTTCTTGGCTGAGGGTGGTAGACTACAGGTGTATAAAGGGGCGGGCATTGTCAGACATGATTAATGTGTTGGTTTGTTTGGCTTAACCATACTTTATTACAAAAAAGAATGTGGGACATTTTTTTGGAATTGACAAGATTGTAAAAAATCAATAAAACTTTGTAAAAAACAAAAACAAAAACAAAAACAAAAACAAGTGGGCATTGGGAAGAGTTGAGAACTCCCAGACCTGCCTTTTCTGACCACAGAGAGTTGGAATCTGGCCTCCAGGAGAAAGGGCCACCTACGACAGAGCTTCCTTGGAAACGTTCAGAAACAGCCTATCGGCTGTGAGCCGATCATGGCTCTAACGGGCATAAATGGAAAGGTTGGCTTGGCCTGTTGGGAAGAGTAGAAAGTGGGGTGGTGTGTCCCCAGCCCTGCCCAGGGCTAGGGGGTCCTGGCCTGGCTGGCTAATGGGACAGGTCTAGACCAGCCTGGCTAATGGGACAGGTCTAGACCAACGTTTCCCTGTTGGCAGTTTCCTGGAGCAGGCGGAGGTGGTTCACAGAGGCCTCCCTTGGTGGCAGGCCCTTGGGGGTTGGACTCAGTGACCCCTAAGGTCCCTTATGCCCTTGATCTCCCATGATCCTCAGTAGGAGAGCTCCCTGGGGGTCATATGATGGAGGCTGAAAGGCTCCTTCACCCAGAATCCTCTCTTCTCCAGTAATGTCCTTTCCTGAAAAATCCCTTCTTTGGGTTAAGGCGTGGCCAGCTCTGGGATTCGCCCTTTTAAAACACAAATGAATGTAGGAGGAACTTGGGAAGAACAACCCATTGAGCTATTAGCTGGTTCTCAATTTGCTCCCTTCATCTCATCAATGACAATTTACCACTTGAGCTGCTAGGCTAGGGCTGGTCAGAAGCTCTAGTTAAGTCTTGCTGGACACAGCAGAGGACAGTGTGGCTAAAGGATAGAGAAAGGTTTTTCGTCCTTGTCTGCCAAGCATTTGTGGAAATTTCCACTGTTCTAGGTACCAAGTGACTAGACCAGGAAGGTGGGGCCACCGCCTCCAGAAGGCTAAGGTTAAAATGCCTTTTGCCGGCTGCTGTCCCCCAAAGGGCATGGGGCAAATGAGATCAGATGAGCCTCGCTTCAATGTAGGCTGCTTCTCTAGGGGGACTGTGGCAGGGAAGGACCAGGAGGGTGACCAAAGCCAGGGTTCTGGGGACGAGAGCCGGGAGGGGTGAAGGGAGGCAGTGCCACACTTGGGGTGGCTGAGGCTGAGAGCCGCCTGAAGACACAGTCTCCACTTCACAATGCTGTCCAGGGCCGGCCCCGCTTGGAAGGAGGGGAGAGCTTACGTGAGACCTGAGGATAGCTTGGATCAGTCCTCCGAGGAGCCGGACACCAGTTGGATGAGACAAGAAGACCCAAGGTGCCTCCTGGGTCTTCTGGAGAGCTGCCTGTGGTTAGTCCCTGTAACAGTGGAGTGTAAGCTCCCTGAAGGCAGGCACCATGCTGGTTCTGTCTTTGTACCCCAGCTTGGAGCACAGTGGCTGGTATGCATAGGTGCTGCATGCATGTTCCTAGAATGAATGAATGAATGAATGCAGGTCCCAGAGCCTCTAGCCACAGGGGAATTCCCAACCACAGGGAGGAGAGGATGGGTGCAAACACAGTGTGACAGTGGTGTTGGGGGCACGGAGCAGCACGCACGGGGCCCAGGAACGGCTCTCCTGCCTGGGGACTGCCCCTGACTTCTCAGGAAGTGGCCACGGTTGGCTGCATCTCCATGGCCACTGTGTTAGGGGTGTCCCCGCTCTCCTTCAGCTCAGCTCCATCTCGGAGAGCCCTCTGGAAAACCACACGCAGGGGTTCCCAGAATCTCTGCTTCTTGTCCCTCCCCACTAGGAAGTAGATGACAGGCTTGGCGCTGCAGTTCACGCAGATGAATGCGTCAGTGATGTACTCAGGAAAGGGTGCCGGGATCTCGAAGATCCAGAAGAGGAACCAGTCGATGCCCAAGTAGATGGAAGAGACAAGGAAGACAGAAACCATGGCCAGGATGACGTTGTTGAGTTTGGACGCCTGATGGCGGCGGCTGGCCCTGCACTCCACCTTCACCAGGAGGACCAGGCAGGCCAGGACCATGAGGGGGGCAAGGATGAGGAAGAGCAGGATGCCCAGGAATATGTCCATGTGGGTGCAGTCTCCCCAAGAGGGCCTGGGGGCAATGTACACACAGAAGTAGGTGTGGATGGTAGTGAGCAGGAAGGCCAGAGCCCAGAGCAGGGCACACACCAGGGCAGACATGTGCTTGGGCCGCCGGTAGCAGTACCAGGTGGGGAAGAGGACAGAGAGACAGCGCTCAGTGCTCACAGCTGGCAGAAGGCTCACGCTAGTGAGGAAGGCGGCCAGGCCCAGGATCCTTGACACAAAGCGGATGTAGGTGGGAAAGGTGCCGGGAAAGGCCCCTGCCTGCAGCACGGAGAGCACCGCCTTGCAGAAGAGGTAGCCAACGTCGGCCACGGCCAGGTGGAGGAAATAAATGGAGAAGGGGTTCCTTTTAATGGAGAAGCCAAAAAACCAGAGGACGACCCCATTCCCCACCAACCCACACAGGCAGATGAGCAGAAAAATGTAGCTCATGATGACAGGCGGTGGGTAGGCCTCAATCTGCTGCATTGTCAAGAAGCCTCGACTGTAGAGTTCTGGGGCTTCACTGGCCCCTGGGCACACCTGTGGGCAGAGAAGGAGATGGGCATTAACCTCCTTGGCCCTAGCTTGAGCCCAAGTCCCTGCCTCGCCCTGGCACCTGGAGTCATCTCTGTTTGGTGAACAAAGGCAAAGTTCTAACGTGGAGGAAGGAGTCCCCCACAGAGCTGAGGTATATCAAGCATAGGGCACTACAGAAATGTCAGTGATGATGACAAGAGAGGCTGCGTTGACTTGGCACCTTTGCTCAGAGGCAGGGGGAGGAGGAGAAACATGCTGACCAAATGAGTTCAGAGTTCAGAGGTATGGCTCCTGATGTGGAAAGAGCTTTCTCAACCCCTGTGTTCGTCCTGACTGACCTGAGGTGCTGGGGCCTGGTCGTCTGGAATCTAGCTCCACTTAATCCAGTGTTCCCCCTAAGCTCCTGGGGAACCCTTTGGATCCTCCTGCAGCCCTGGGGACACCTGTTTTCCTGGGCTGGGATCACATGCCGATGAGAGGTAACTGTGTCTGGAGTATTGATCCTGCAGTCAGGAAGACCTGAATTCAAAACCCACCTCCAATATTTACTAATTGTGTGACCCCAGCCAAGTCACTTAACTTTCCTATGCCTCAGTTTCCTCATCTGTAAAAAAAAGGGGGGTCTGGACAGGTCTGTCTCTCTATGATTCCACGTGAAGTTTTACTTTTCAGATCAAGACCTAGGGCTGTAGCCTAGGCACAGCTAAGCCCAGAATAGGGGTGGCCCAGAGCACACATTTCCTTGAATATTCCCCTTCCCTCAGGGGATATAAGCTGCCCTTCAGGCATGCCTGTGAGAGTAATTGTGTCCCTCATGGTTTGTACCTGATTAATAATGTTCTTAGGAAATGGCTCAATGCTCCCGTATCTTTGCCAAGAAATTCCCAAATGGGCCGAGAAGAGTCGGACACTATGGAAACCGACTGACCAGCAACAATCCTGTCCACAGTCACTTTCTTTTTCTCTGCCTTTGAGATCTCAGCCTGGGCTCTCACAGCCCCCACATCCGTCTCTATGGCTGCAATTTCTCACCTTTCTATTTCTGTTAATTGACTTGGAGTCTTGGCGTTCGATCTCAAGGGCCAAGCCCACCCCTAAAATGCTGGCGTCTTGTCCTCTGAACCCACCAAGGAGGCAGGGACGGAGGGCCACAGAAGCAGCCAGTGGGTCAGATCTCTGAGTCTCTGCCAGCCCCCTCCCCATTTTTGCCGCAGGGAGATCCACCATCTCGTTTGATTTGACCGTCTGACAGCACTCATCATTGGACTACTAATCTTTCTGCCTCACCCTGATCCTGCATGCCACCACATCTCAGTGGGTCTGATGCCCCTTTTTGGTGTGAGAGACTCATACAGGGTTTAAAATGCTGTTGGTGTGTGATAGAGAGATCCTGGACTTGCTGCCCAAAGACCTGGGTCTGAGTCCTAACATTGTCATTGGGCAACTCTATGCCTTGGACAGGTCACTTAACATTTGTGACCTTCAGTTTCACCAACTGAAGAGTGGGGGTAATAATGCTCATGAGGATCAAAGGAGACCATATCTATAAAGTGCTATGGAAAACTTAGGATGCCGAGTATTCTAAGAAAGGCAGTATATAATGGTTGGGGAGTCAGGAGGGCCTAGGGTTCAAACCCTGGCTCTTCCACTGGGTGACTCTGGGCCAATCAACTCGAGCCTTGGTTTCTTCATCTATAAAATGGGCACACAAGGACTTGTATTACCCACCTCAAAGGACTATTGTGAGGATCAGACAAATACAAATTCCTCAGCTTAGCATTTAAGGCCTTCTACAGTCTTCTCATGGGCAGCTACGCCGTGCTACAGTGGCCTGAAGTCAGGAAGACCTGAGTTCAATTCCAGCCTTAGACATTTACTAGCTGTGTAACACTGAGCAAGTCACTTCACACTGTTTGCCTCAGTTTCTTCATCTGTAAAATGAGCTGGAGAAGGAAATGGCAAACCAATTCAGTATCTCTGCCAAGAAAACTCCAAAGTGGGGTCACGGAGAATCAGACATGAATGGAATGACTGAATAACAACACAGTCCCTTCCCATCATTATTTCTTACTACTCTGCTCTATACTCTTAGAGTACTGCAGCCAAACTGGACACTGCCTGTTCTCTACACTTAACATCCCGTCTCATACCTGCATGTGTCTCCATGACTGAAATGCCCTCCCTCATCTCTGCCTCTCAGGACTCATATGCCCCTACAAGGCTCAGCCCAGCTTCTCTGGAAACCTTCCTTCCCTCCCCACCTCTCCTCCCAGTGGTCAGTACTCAACCTTTCCTTCCTCAAATTTACGTGTACTTGCGAATCAGTCTATGTATTGTAGCCCTCCCCTCTCCCCAAAATTGAGTCATTGAGGTCAAAGACTTCCTTTCATATCTTTGAATCTCCAGGACCTAGGATAGTGCCTGGGACTTGAAAATGTTGAGGTCTGGGCTTGTTACTGCATTGATGCAGCTTGTAGGGAATTTCCTGTGACAGTCTCCATCTAGAGATACAGATCTTCCCTTCTCTGCAACTGAGAGCATTGGAGGGTTGGGTGAGCCACTGAAGGTTAAGTGATTTGCCTGGGTCACACAGCCTAATTTGAAAGTCAGGACTATAGAGTGTATAGGAGTCTGGGAAACTTGCAGTTCCTTCCTTGGGAGCAGAGAGAGAAAGAGACAGAGAGAGAGACAGAGAGAGAGAGACAGAGACAGAGAGTCCCTAGGAGGGACTTTCACACTGACCAGTTATATACTAGCTTTAAAAATTCTTCCAAATCCTTATCCTCATCTTCTTGAGCTCTGTGATAGATGAGGTCAGCCTACATCTCCAAACCCAGACTGTTTGCCTCAGCTTCCTCATTTATAAAATGAGCTGGAGAAGGAAATGGCAAAACACTCTAATATAAAACAAACAAACAAACAAAACAAAACAAAACAAAACCACTCTAGTATCTTCGCCAAGCAAACCTCAAATGGGGTCACAAAGAGTTGGACTCGACTGAAAGGACTGACCAACAAGAAAAATACACATACATACACACACACACACACACACACACACACACACACACACACACACACACACACATATATATACATATACACACATGCACATCTAAATGTGTTATTGTTGTTGTCCACAGCATCATGGGTAATGTCTTGATTTGCATGTGAATTGGTGAGACAAAAGTTAGGACAACTGGTGATGGCCAGGGGTGCAGTGGATGACCTTGGCCTTTCTAAATTAAGGTCTTTCCCAGCAACAACAATCTTAAATACATACATACACAACACATGCACACGCAAATACATACACACATATGTATGTATTTACATAAACATACAACACACACATCTATACATATATATGTATATAAGTATAGATGCCACCAACATAAGAAATTCAGAGAAATATGGGAAAACTTGAATGAATTGATAATGTGAAGAATGACTTACATAGTGATTTACCCAATCACGTAAATGAGAACCATCCTAAAAGGCAGTCTGACTTTGGAATTGTAATGACCTAACAAGCAGACCACCTCCTGCCTCTCTCCTTTGGATAGACCGGGGGTGACTGCCAGGATACACCATTGTCATTGTTCAGTCATTCTCAGTTCTGTTAGGGGTTTTCTTGGCGGAGAGCCTGGAGTGGCTTGCCATTTCCTTCTCCAGCTCATTTTATAGATGAGAAAACTGAGGCACACAGGGTGAAGTGATTTGCCCAAGGTCACACAGACTAGTAGCTATCTGAGGCTGATTTGAACTCAGAAAGATGAGTGTCTTTTTTAGTTTTGCTTAAATGCTTTTGCTTGTCAAAAAGAAGTTTGATTGCTGTGGGCAGGGCAGGGGGATTAAGAGGAAAGGATTTGCTATGAAAACAAAAGGCAGTAACGCCATGCCTGGAACCTCTCCCTCTTGGCTCTGACCAGTGACCTCCCTGGCTTTCTTTAAGTCCCAACTAAACTCCTACCCTCATTAGGAAGTCTTCCTTTGGCTGTTCAGTCTCAGCCGACTCTGTGACCCCATCTGGGGTTTTCTTGGCAGAGAGCCTGGAGTGGCTTGTCATTTCCTTCTCCAGCTCATTTTATAGATGAGGAAGCCTTCCCTAACTGTTCTTCATTTCACTGCCTTCCCTCAGTTAACCATTTCCTTTTTATCCTGCCTATTGCTTGTTTGCATGCATTTCTTAGATTGTAAGCTCCTTCAGGGCAGGGACTGACTTTTGCCTCTTTGTTTCCTTTGTGCTTAGTATTTGGCACAGAATAGGTGCCTAATAAATGTTTATTGAATTGAAATTGAACAATAAACCTTAAAATAAAACAAAGGGGTTAGAGCAGATGATTGCTTAGGTCCTTTCCATCGCTCAGAGTCTCTGAGCTCATAATTTTAGGATCTAAATCCAAGTGTTGGAAAGGCTGAAGAAGAGGGACTGGATGATTCCAGAATGTTGGATTTGGAGACCTGGGTGCAAATCCTAACTCTGCTACTTATCCTGGTTCTAACTCTAATTGTATGACCTTAAGTGATTTCTGCCCTCTGGGATTCAGCTTGCTCATCTGTAAAAGGGGAGATTGGCATACCTTGTCTCTCAGGGTAGCTGTCCAAATGAATTTGATAATAAGGGGAGGTTGTCTTCCTGGTCGCTATGAGCTGTCATGGCCCAAATGAAGGGAGGAATACCAGGCTGCCAACTCCCCATCTGTATGGGCTGGGTAGATAAACATAAGACTGAGGCTAACAGAGTCCTTGGTGCTGAAGTAGTTGGAGGGCAGAATGTAGTATGGCGAGGGATGCCTGGTGGGATAAGAGGTCACTGTTCCTGCCTAGCAGAGAGGAAATAGAAGCCTTGCTCCCAGTGACCTCCACCTGAGCTGGGCATGTGGTATCTGTGAGTGCCTTCAGTGATGGGGCTAAAATAATATGCCCCAAAATATGCCTCCATTGATGGTTGGAACTAGAAGGGACCTATCTGGGAGACTGGGAAGTTGGTTCTGAGAGAGGAGCTGTCCAAGGATCCTAGCTGGATCTAGAGTGGAAGGGGCTTCAGAGGGGATCTAGGCAAGCCCTTCATTTTATAGGAAAAGAAACTGAGACCCAGGGAAGTATAATGTCAAGGTCTCAGATGCAGTAAGCATTGGAGATGAGATTTCAACCGAGATTCTTGGACTCTTATTTCACAAAGGAGAAACTGAGGCCCAGGGCAAGGAAATAACTTGGCCTATGTCACCCAGGTAGTAGGTATTAGAAACAGGATCCGAAGCTGTGTCCCCTCACTTCAGGGCTGGGCTTCCTTCCCTTGTACGATATTGTCTCCTCCCCAAGCTCACATCGAAGGAGGGCAAGGGTTAGAGCACTCAGAGATGCTGACGGCTCATGCCAACAGTGAGGACCAGAGGAGGATGGAGACAGAGGGAACCCTTCAGTAAGAGGATTTCATGACCCAGTGGCCCACCTGGGCAAGGGCCTGAGACCTGGAACTGCTCAGGACAGGGGCCCTCCCTGGTACAGCTGGCAGATGCTCCCTTCCCCACACTTGCCTTATTCCTGTTCTGGGCATGGATCTCCCATGAGCAATTCCAGGCCATCTCTGGGAAGCCGGTTGGCCGGTGGTGGGCAGACCCTTCAAGGCTGACCTCTGCAGGTAACTCTCCCACACTCTGACAACCTGTCAATCACAAAAAAGAAACAGCTTTATCTCAATTGGGGTTTGAATCTGGGGCAAAAGGACTGTCCTTCAACCCACTGCCATTAGTCCAAAACAACCCAACCCATCCAATAAGCATTTATTAATCGACTTCAGGATACAAGACACGGGAAATAGAAAAGAAAAAAAAATCAAAGACCACCTCCTGTCCTCAAGGAACTTGCATTGTCCTAGGTTGGGATACAACACGTAAATACAAATAAATGCACGATATTTGGGGAAAGGAGAGGGCATCAACAGCCAGGAGGATCCAGAAAGGTTTCCTGGAAGAGAAGGCATATAGGACTTGGATGAAACTAGGAAGAAGCAGCAACACTCTTATCTACCCCCTGAAAACCCCTTCCTTCTTAGACCTCAGGTGCACAGCCTCTGACCGCATCTCTGGGCTCAGCTGCCTTGCCCCACATGATGCATGGTCCAATCTTGCCACACAGATCTTTCACCTGCACCCCCTTCTCTCCACACACAGAGCCACCACCATGGCTCAGGCTCATCTCCTCTTTCCTGGCTCCTGGTAGCCTGCTGGGTGGTCTCCCGGCCATGTCTCTTCCCCACCATTCAGCTGTCAAACTGACTTTCCTAAAGCCCAGGTGTGAGCATGTCCACTCCAGCGGCTCCTTGTTCCTTCCAGGATCAAATGTAAGCCATCGCTGGGTATTTCTAGCCTTTCCTAACCTGCTCCTCCTGACCTTTCCAGCCTCCTTTCCATGTGTTCGAGTTCAATGACACTGGCCTTTTCGATCTTCCTCAAATGAAATATTCCATCTCCTGACTCCATGTCTTTGTACTGGCTGTCCCTCATGCTGGGAATGCCCTTCCTCCTCACCTCTCCCTCCTGGCTTCATTTAAGACAACTCAAATCTCACCTTCCAGAGGCCTTTGGAAGTCTCCTTCGCTGCTCAGTGCCTTCTTTCTGGGGTCACCCTCCACGTCTCCTTTCTAGAGCTTGTTTGCATAGAGTTGATGGCACGTTGTCTCCCCCATCAGACTGGGAGCTTCTTGAGGGCAGGGACTATCTTTTGCCTTTCTTTGTATCCTCAGTGCTTAGCACAGTGCTTGTGGTCTGACTGACCCATTGTGCCCAGTACCTTATGGAGTGTTGGAGCTGGGAAGCACCTCCAAGTCTAGCCTTTCATTTGTCAAAGGAAGTAGCTGAAGCCCAGAGATGGGAAGAGACTTGCCCAAGGTCACACAGCTTTGCGTCAGGATCTGGGCCAAGGCTAGGATTCTTTCCCTTCATGCATGTGTCCTCACTCAGCCTGTTCTGAGAGGCAGCTGGGGCCCACCCTGGGTGCATGTTTCTCCTCTCCAGGAGTCTCCTCCTACCTCCAGCTCATGCTGTTTCCATGAGAGATGCCACATCATATCTTCCATGACCTCAGCCTCACACACTCTCTTCTGATGCCTTCTCTCCAGCTTTCTCCCATTGCCCATTCCTCTTGTCCTCTCTTATCTGCTCTTATCTCCACACTCACTACCCTCAGATCTCGGAGCCATGGTGGGAAGCATAGAGGGGCTGGGAAGGCAGGGAACGCCCACTTGGCTTTGTTCATGCTCCCCTTGCCCTCTTTGCTTTTGTTTCCTCCCTTTCTGTCTTCTGTCTTCTACCCTCCCCTGCTCTCCTTCTTTCCTTGCCTTCTGGCATTATAGACAGAGCTATGAATTTGGGGTCAGGAGATCAGAGTTCATGTTCCAGTTGACTTTGGGCAAATCGTTTCACTGAAGGTCCTCTCTCAGGCTCCTTTCAGAACTAACATCTGATCCTCTGCCTGCATTTTCCGACCCCTCCTTTCGTCCTGATGGCTTATCCCATTCCTTGCTTGATTCCATTCCTTTCCTCTCTGAATGTCTTGCCAAGATGATATCATCTGTGTGTGTGTGTGTGTGTGTGTGAGTGTGAGTACATGTGGAGAGGGTGTGCCAGGATGGTTCTCCTGAGTCCCTTTAGTGTCTCATAAATGAAGTGTGAGATTCACTGCATGGGGAGACAAGAAAGGCATTTAAGAGGTACGTACCAGGCACACATGGACATGCCAAAGTGTGGATCTCTGTTTGCATGTAAGTGCATGTGTGCAAATATGCTTGGATATGTCAATCAGACAAGAAACATTTATTAAGCAACTACTATGTGTTAAGCACCGTAATTTATATAAGAGAGACAAATAATAAGACAGTCCTGCCCTCAAAGAACTTACAATCTAAGAGGGAAGACAATATAGAAAAAGAATCTGGAAAGCAGGGGTGGAGGGGTGGGAAGAGGTTGATGGAGAAGTCCAAAGATATTCATAAAGAGATGGCTGGTCTGGGCCCCCTTTGGAAATGGAGGTTTTGAAGTTCATGGTTCTGCCCTCCAATCAGAGGGGCAGAGGATACTGGTGAGGTGTGAGTGGTACCAAGACTGAGTGGATACATGCACCAAAAACACTTAGTGGGCACCTCCTGAGTCCCAGGCCCTGTGTCCTAAGCTAGGAATGTGAAGAAAAAGTCCAACAGTCCCTGACCCCAAGGAGGTGAGTCTACTATGGATTAGACCATAGCGTCTACCCAGATAAATATGATACAAAATAGGCAGTGAGGTAGCAAAGGAGTGATCCAGCCTAAGTGTAGGGATGTGCGAGCAGGGAGAGATTACCACAGCTATATACTTTGTAACTATGTGTTAGGAGCATGTGTCTGGGTCACCTACTGCTCCAACCTTATTTCCCACTGCTCACCAGCACATACTCTCTTCTCTACTTTTATCAGGACAGCTTCCTCATCAGCAGTCCCATGAACAAGGCACAGTCTTTCCCACTCCCATATATCTTTGCTTATGTTGTTCCTATCATGGGGAATGCCTTTCCTCCTTTCTGTCTGCCTCCAAATCCTGCTTATTCTTTTTTTTTTCTTTTTTGGTTAGGCAATGGGGTTGAGTGACTTGCTCAGGGTCACACAGCTAGTAAGTGTTATGTGTCTGAGGCTGGATTTGAACATAGGTCCTCCTGAATCCAGGGCTAGTGCTCTATCCACTGTGCCACCTAGCTGCCCCAAATCCTGCTTATTCTTTAGGGCCGTGTCCTCCAGGAAGCCTTCCTTGACTATACCAACCCTTTGTGATTTTCTTCTTGTCAACTCTTACTGTACCTGTTCCAAGAACTCATAATTGTACTTTGTTATAGGCTGTTCTCTGTTGTTCCTTGTCTCTGCATGTGAGTTAATTTTATTTTTCCCATTAGACTCAAAGCTCTGGGAAGGCAGGGACTATGTCTTATTCTTCTCTCTATTCACTATAATGCCTAGCATTCTAAGATCTCAAATGTACTTATACACTATTGGGTTGTTGGGTGTGTCTTTTTGTGTGTGTGTCTTCATCCACTTCCCCCCAGGGGCCTATTTATTCAGGGGCCAGAGCCCAGGGCCAAGTACTCAAATCAAGATGGTTATGATGGCCAATTAAAACACATTGTTGGGATGCCTATCAATTGGGGAATGACTGAACAAGTTATTGTGTACGATTGTGATGGAATACTGTTGTGATATGAGAAATAATGAGCAGAAAAACCTGGAAAGATTTACATGAACTGATGCAAAGTGAAGCAAGCAGAACCAGGAGAATATTGTCCACAGTAATAGCAACATTGTAACAATGATTGACTGTGAATGACAACTATTCTCAGCAATACAATGATCCAAGACAATTCCAAAGGACTTATGATGAAAAATGCTTTCCACCTCCAAAGAATTGATGGGGACTGAACATAGATTGAAGCATGCTTTTTAAGCTTTCTTTATTATTCTTGTTTTTCTGGTCTTCATTTTCTTTTACAACATGGCTAAAATGGAAACGTTTTACATGATTGTACATGTAGAGTCTATATCAAATTGCTTGCCTTCTCAAGGAGGGGGAGAGAAAGGAGGAAGGGAGAGAATTTGGAACTCAAAATTTTTTTTAAAGTATGTTTAAAACATTTTGTTCATATGTAAATGAGAATTTTTAAAAAGCAACTTGTCAGAGCTCTCTGGGCCTCAGCGTGCACACAGGTGCCAATCCAGCGGTAGACAGAGTTGGGAAGTCACAGACAGGAGAGGCTATCATGGCTAGGCAGGATGTGGCTGCAAACAGGAAGTCAGAGGAAAGGCCAGATTGGGGCCTGATCTCCACCTTGCTGCTCTAAGCAGAAGCAGGAGACTGGAGCTCAGATACTGGCTCCTGTGTGGGGGTCCTGGGGTCACAGACCTAGAGCTGAGAGAATCCTCAGTGGCCAATGAGGCCAGCCTCCTCTCTGCAGATGAGGAAACTGAGGCCCAAGGTCAAATAGGTCACCCTAGGACATACAAGGAGTAAGGGACAGACCCAGGACATGACCTCATGGTCTCTGCTACTTACACGTAGCAGCAGCTTCCTTATCTGTAAAATGAGAGAGGTTAGGCTGGGAGGGTTGTGTCTCCCTGGTCTAGATCTGTGACAATGACTGGCGTTCCTAGAAGACTGAAGTCTGCAGCACATTTTATCTCTATTGTAGGTGTCATTGGAGTTCCTGACTGTGGGAGGTAGGGACAACAGGTGCTAGTATGCTTATTTTACTTATTTATTGTTGTTTTTTGGTGAGGCAGTCTGGGTTAAGTGACTTGCTCAGAGTCACACAGCTAGTAAGTGTCAAGCATCTGAGGCAGGATTTGAATTCAGATCCTCCTGACTCCAAGGCTGGAGCTCTATCCACTGTGCTGCCTAGCTGCCCCCACCCTGTTTATTTTATTAACAAGGCGACTGAGGCACAAATGGTGGAATGACTTGTCCATGCTCACGGAGTCAGTAAGGATGAGAGATGACATTTGTTCAAGCTGAAGTGTTTGCGTCTCTCTGGGTCAGCACCTTGGCCATGCGGCTCTGCCCAGTGAGCCTTCCCTGCTCTGGGAGCCCACGGTTTCAGTGAAGACTCTCACATGGCCTGGGTGAGGCATTTTCACCCCATCGGGTCTCAGTGTCCTCGTCTGTACGATGAGGATAATAATGCTTAGACTACATACAATTCAGGGCCATTGTGAGAAAAGTGCCTGTCAACTTTAGAGGGGGAGCTGTTATTTCTGTTCTCCTTCCCTGGGAAATGCAAACTTTGCTCCTGACCTGTAGCTGAAATCAAGGAAATCACTGGCATGCTTTTTCCAGCCCTCCTCTCCTTAATCCTGAATATTGAGAAACTTTCCAAAAAGCCTGTTCTGCAGCATTGGAGCCCAGAGGCACAGGGCTGGGACAAGGCATGAGGGACTGAGGGGAATCGGAGCCTGACTTTCATCTGGTGTTCAGATGGCTTCAGAGACAGATGGGCTATTTGGCACCGAGGCTGCCTGGGTGTTTGCCTTGCAAAAACTTCTAGAAAAAGGAAGATTGCAGCACCCATGAGTGGATGGGGAGATGGAGGCAATGTCAAGTTAACTAGCATTTATTAAATGTGTGCTATATGCCGGGCATTGTGCTCTGTGCTGGGGATAAAAAGAAAGGCAACCCCCCAAAAAAAGGAGGTAAAAGAAGGAAGGAGCTCCTAGGGGTTAGACAGAGAGACAGAAGTGGAAGTAGAGTCTTGTGGGGGGAGGGGATGTGGGGAGAGGGACCAAGACAATGACAGAGAGAGGAGAGAGAAACAGAGAAAGAGGAGAGCCAGAGAAAGCAGGAGCCAGAGAAAGGAGAGGGACAGGGAAAAGAGAGAGAAAGTGAAAGGGAGAGAGAGAGAGAGAGAGAGAGAGAGAGAGAGAGAGAGAGAGAGAGAGAGAGAGAGAGAAAGAGAGACAGAGAGAGAGAGAAAGAGAGAGACAGACAGAGATAGAGACAGCGACAGAGAGAAGACAGAGAAACAGAGAAAGAGGAGAGCCAGAGAAAGAGGGACAGGGAAAAGAGAGAGAAAGAGAGAGGGAGAGAGAGAGAGAGGCAGAGAGACAGACAGAGAGGAAGAGAGAGAGAGAGAGAAAGAGAGAGAGACAGAGAGAGAGACAGAGACGGACAGAGGAGAGATACACAGAAATAGAGATAAGGGAAGACACAGACAGAGGTAAAGACACAGAGAGGAGGAATGGAAAAAGATAATGAGAAAGAGGAAAGAGAGAGAAAGGGAGGAAAGAACTGGGGAAAGAGAATTATGCAGTCAGGGAAGTGGAGAGTTAAGCTGAGTGGGAGAGTTAACTAGAATACAGAGAATGGATGGGAATTTCAGAAGTAAAACTGGGAAAAGCTGAGTGTTGCAAGCAGAATCCTGTTGAATAGTCGGTGCCCTGCAGGATTCAGACCCTGCCCTTCTTGACAGACGCTCAGAGAAGGTGGGGCTCACTCAAAGCTGGGGAGTAGCTGGGTCACCAGGCTGAGGTTCTGGCTCCAGATGCCAAGGAGCCCTTTAAAGAGGTATGTCCCCAGGAGGCTGCCCTCATCTCTTTCCCTTACTTCCCTTACTTTGCTCTTCCTCTGTGCTATTTTTCCCTCAGATTACCTCCTGTCCCCAGCCACGGAGTCCCACCTGTGGCTAAGTTGTCCCCCATCCCCACCCTGAGTAAAAGAAGCTTTTACTTACAGTTGGGGAAGCTGCTTTGGGGTCCTCAGGAAAGGGATAGCAAGGAACCGTCCTTGGAGAGGAGAGTACAGGGTGTGTGTCTTCTGCTGCCTGAGGCCCTATACTCTCAGTTCCTCCCTCCAGAAGCAGACAGGGTCCTGAGCACACTAAACAAATGGGAGCATACCAACTTTGATGGGAGGGAGCTGGCCAGACCAACAGTCACTGTGGTGCTGAATTTCCACACGCCCTGGGACCTTCAGCAAGCTTCCCTTAGAGGAAGGGAGTGATGACACTTGGGAGAGGAATGCCTGGGTACAGGAGGAGCCAGCAGCCCCCCGGGAAGCAGGACAGCAGGCTCTCCCTCCAGCTCGTGATGTCACATTGGCATTCACAGAGGACTTGCTAGCGTTCCCTCCCATCCTGCTGCAGGGCAGAGCTCACTGTAGCCAAAGGCAGGTCAGGGTAACTGCTAGGGGATGGAAGGGCCACTGGCTGTCCTGTAGGGCTTCGAAGGTAAAGCCAGTTGGCTGGGACCCAGCCTTCCTGCAATGATCAAGGACACTGTTTCCCAAAATACAGTTCTGCCCATGTCACTCCCTTTCTCCAGAAATTCGAATGACTCCCTATTACCTCAGGGTGAGTTTTTTAAAAACCTCAGTTGAGCTCCAACCAACTTTTGCAGGCTTATGGTATATTACTTTCCTTCACACACTCCACCATCCAGTCACACTAACCTTCATGCTGTTTCTTCCTTATAGCAGCTGTATCTCTTGCTTTTGGACCAGCCGTCCTCCAGGGATGCCTGGAATGCACGCGATCCTCACTGGCATCTCTTAGAATCGCAAGTCTCCTTCAAAGCTCAGCTCCAGGGGCAGCTAGGTGACTCAGTGGATAGAGCACAGGCCCTGAAATCAGGAGGACCTGAGTTCAAATGCGACCTCAGACTAAACACTTGACACTTACTAGCTGTGTGACCTGGGACAAATCACTTAACCCCAATTGCCTAAAAGAAAAAAAAAGGCTCAGCTCCAGGGCTGCCTCCTCCATGAAGCCTTTCCTGATTACTCCCCCTACTAATACAATTACCTTGTATTAATTTTGTAGCTACAGAATTCAGGTCTCCCTGATACTGTTTCACTTTTGTCTTCGTACAAAGTACAAAGTACTAAGTACTTTGGGTTAGAAAAATGTAGTAATAGTCATAGTTGCATTATACAACACTTTAAGGTTGGTAAAGTGCTTTATATGTGTTAACCCATTTAACAACCCTGGGAAGCAGAAGCTATTATCAGCCCTATTTGACAGACATGGAAATTGAGGCTGACAGAGTTGAGTGATTTTCCAGACCACACAGCCAGGAACTGTTTGAGGTAGAATTTAACCTAAAGCCTTTCTGATTCCAAGTCCCACCTCTGTCCACTGCTCCATCTACAGGAGCTTTATAAGTGGGTAATGATTGATTGAATCACAGGGTCATTGATTTAGGACTGGAAAGAAAAGTTGAAGCTGACCAGCCCATTTTGCAGACGGGGAAACTGTGGCCCAGACAGAGCAAGGGACTTGCCCAACTAGGAAGTAGAAAGACCTGGTGGAAGTCAGGCCGGGCCGGGCGGGGAGAGCAGACAGAGCCCTGGAGACAGCAGGCACTCCATGAGTGCTTGGTGAATCAAGAGGAACACAGAGTCTAGGACCGGGAGAGACTTTACAGACCATTCGGCCTGACCCCCTTGTCTTACAGAGGAAGAAACTGAGGCCTGAGACCTCCCACACTGGGACGGGGACTCAACACAGCTTCTCCCTCTCTCGCTTGCTCTCTCTCTCTGTCTCTCTGTCTCTCTTTCTCCCCTGTTCTCTCTCTCCTTCTTTTTCTCCTCTCTCTCCCTCCCTCCTTCCCTCTCTCTCTGTCTCTCTGTCTCTCTCTCTTTCTCCCCTGTTCTCTCTTTCTTTTTCTCCTCTCCTTCCTTCCCTCCCTGTCTCTATCTCTGTCTCTGTCTCTCTGTCCTATAACTGGGGACAGTTTCCCTGCTGGCCTCTGAGGAGGTGTCCACAGATTGTATCCTCTCTTTCTTTCTCTCTTCTTCCATTTGTCTCCTCCTGCTCTAGTTCCCCACAGAGAAGTAAATTGTCCCCAGGCCGGCCAGAGCCTTTGGGCTCTAAGGAAAGACCCAGGAATTCCCCCTTCTAGGGCCCTAATAACAGTCACGTGGCCCAGTGGAAAATCTAAGGAAAAACAAGGAGAAGTTGGCTGGGCTTGGGAATGCTGAGCTCACCAGTGGATGAATCAGCCTTTCCCCCAGCAGAGAGCTGCCCAGGGAGAGCTGGAACTGGGAGGAGAAGGAGGGGAGAAAGTGCTGGGAGAAGGGGGGCAGAATGAGGAGCATTCTGGGGATGTTAGGGGTAGTACTGAGAGAGTGAGCATGGGAGGAGGAAGAAGGGAGGAGGGGGAAAGCATTGGAGGAAGCAGAGGAAAGAATGGGGAGTGGGGCCAGAGGAAAGGAGGCAGAGAAGGCGAACCATTAAAGGAGAAAGTAGGGGGTAGTTGGGGGAAGGAATAATGTGGGGGCTCCTGAGGCAAGAGGACTATTTAACCTTCCTGGAGCTGGTGCCTGAGGTCTGGACACAGCTGGCAGCCTCACTTCCATGCTACCCAGTGTTCCAGGTCCACCCCAGCTTTCCCAGGAGCCTGGAACCCTGGGAGCTTTCTGAAAGCTTGGGTAACATCTACCCCAAAGGGAGGCCCTGTGGCTTGTGCTTCGCTGACTTTTAGCAGGAGTCCCCTCCCCCCCCATGGGTCCAAGGTGGGGGAGTAAGCAGAAGCCAGTGAGGTTCTTGAAATCACCTGAGGCTGTCTCTGTGACTGCTGTACAAGGGCCCAATCACTGCCTGTGTGCCCAGCAGTGGGGGGGGGGGAAGCCCGTCACTGAACTGTCCAGCCCTACCTCTGGGACACCACCTCCTTCCAGAGCCCCCTTCCAAGCTCCCTCCCTAGACATGGGACCCTGGCCAAGGGGTGTCTGTCCTTGCCTTGAAGGCGGGGAGCTGAGCGCCAAACTGGCAGGAATTCCTACCCTCAGCTTCCCTGTCTATTGACTATATTCTATGGATAACCACCTAGAATCCCCTCATCCACCCATCTAAGAAGAGGGAGAGGAAAAGAAAAGGGAGGGGATATGATATGGAGGAGAAAAGACAAGGACTGCAAGAAAGCGAGAGAGGGAGCTGGAGTGGAGAGGAAAAAGTGAAGAAAGAGAGGAGTTCAAAGGTGAAAGAAAGTCGGACATTGAAGAGGCAGGAGAGGGAGGGGGAGAAAGGAACAGAGAGGGGAAATGGGAGGAAGAGAGAGAAAGAAGGGAGACAGAAGCAGGGAGAGAGAGAGAGAGTTGGAGGTGGAGGGGAGAGGGAGAAAAAGAGGGGAAAGACAGAGAGAGGCAGAGACGCAGGGAGTGATAGAGACAGTGGGAGAAAGAGAAAGAGAGATATAGATAGATAGATAGATAGATAGATAGATAGATAGATAGATAGATGATAGAGAGAAAGAGAAAGAGAAAGAGAGATGGAAGGAGGATAAGAGAGAGAGAGAGAGAGAGAGAGAGAGAGAGAGAGAGAGAGAGAGAGAGAGAGCACACACACTCAGAAGTGCAGCTGTCTGGGCTCTTGTTTATGGCTACACTTTTTGAAAAGCTGAGTCAAAGCCAGAGATCAGGGCAATGTAACTTGGACACTCAGTAGGGACTATATTCAGAGGCCAGGGCTCCAATGTCTGCAGCCTTATTTGGGATGGAAATTTCTTTCTTTGAAAATAAGTAAGTGATGAGTGTAAATGGGGAAATCATTAGCTGTTTGAATTCTCTTAGGTCGGTGGTTCTCTGCACCATCTATTCTCCACCTCCTCCTTCTCCTTCCTCTCTTTCTCTTCTCTTCCCTACACACCCTTCCCCTCTTTCCCTTCTCCTCCTCCATCCTCCTCACTCTCTTCCTTCTCCCCTCCTCTTTCTTTCCTTTTTCTTCTCTCCTCTTCATCCTCCTGTTCCTCCTCTTCTCACCATTTTTTGGGGGGTGGGATATCTAGCTGATGACTACTTCCCCCCCCCTTTCAGGGGCATGTCTGTCTGGCTTTGGATGAAACCCTCAATGTGATAAACCCAACACCAGAGCCCCTCCTTTACTTGTAGCCCCTCCTCCCCAACTACTGACCTCCTCTCCTTAGCCAACAGCCTGAAAGTCCCCCAACACCTACCCACAGAGCAGGAAAAATCCTATATTTAGGGAGGAAACATTTAATATGTACTCATGATGCAGGAGCCTCAACCTGTCCTGATCACTCCCTTGCCCCTGACAATGTCCAGTCTCGCCTCCCTGCTCTCCCTATGTCCTTATAAATGGAAGATACAAATGGCGGCAGGGGAGAGGTTTTGTCAGAGAGTCATCTGTCTAACCCCAAACATGGGCCACTGTCTGGTCCTCACCTGGCCCATAGGCCAAGGGAAGAGTCAGGGTGGAGCTCCCTCCAACACTCTGGGAAGGAAGATTCCAGTGAATGTGGAGAATTGCCCTAGGAGGTGAAATACTTCTCACAAGGTGACTCAGCTCATAGGTATCAAGTGCAGTTTGAACCTGGGTCTTCCTAACTCCAAGGTTAGCCCTCCACCTACTCCGCTGGGAGGCTCCTAGGGTACAGAGAAAGCTCTTGGTGGTCACAGATAGAATTTGGGACCATAGAGGGAAGCCCCAGACTTACTCATTCAGGGGAGTGAAAATCTACCCTCGTGGGTAGGGGTAGTCCTAGATTTAATGAGGTAACAGACCTTAGAGGTAATGGAGTACAAACTCCTCCTTTACAGGGGAGGAAACAGAGGTACAGAGGCAACCAGTGACCTGACAAAGGTCCCACAGGCTGCAAGGAGGGAGCTCCTCAGAAGACAGCAGTGAACCAGGAAGGTTGTGACCATTGTGTTCTTAAAGGCAAAGGCCAGAGAGATGAGTCTCTGCTCTGCTTGACTTGGGGTCTTATAGGTAGAATCCCTGCTTGAATCCTGAGGCCTCTGAGCTGCTGATGAGTCTAGAAAGCTGGTGGGTGACCGACCCTGGGAGTCTTCTGGTGGACTCTAGGTTTCTGACTTTTTTTTTTAATGAGGTTGGAAAGTTTCTTTTAAAAAAATCTTATATAATATTTTATTTTCTTAATTACATGTAAAAACACTTTTAACATTCTTTTTTTCTTTCAAATTTTGAGTTCCAAATTCTCTCCTTCCTTTCCTTCCCCCTCCCTCATTGAAAAGGCAAGCAATTTGACATAGGTTATACATGCGTAGTCATGCAAAACACATTTCTATGTAAGTCATTCTGTGAAAGAAAACACAGACAAAAAATAATAAGAAAAATATAGAAAAGTATCTTTGATCTGTGTTCAGGCTCTACCAGTTATTTCTCTGAAGCTGGAAAGCACCTTTCATCATAAGTCCTGTAGAACTATCTTGGATTCATTGTATTGCTGAGAATAGCTAAGTTATTCATAGTGGATCATCATACAATGTTGTGGTTACTGTGTACAATGTTCTCCTGGTTCTGCTCATTTCACTCTGCATCAGTTCATGTAAGTCTTTCATATTTTTCTGAAAGCATGCCGCTCATCATTTCTTAAAGCACAAAAGTATTCCATCACAATCATATACAACTTGTTCAGCCATTCCACAATTGATGGACATCCTCTTAATTCTTTGCTACCACTAAAAATACTGCTATAAATATTTTTTTTACACCTCAGTCCTGTTCCTTTTTGTTTTTTAATCTCTTTGGGATACAGACCTAGTAGTAGTATTGCTTGGTCAAAGGATATGCATGGTTTCATAGCCCTTTGGGAGTAGTTCCAAATTGCTCTCCAGAATCATTATACAATACAGAATCAGTATACAACTTGACCAATTGTACATTGTCCCATTTAGGAATATAAACAGTTTAACCTTATTGAATCTCTTAGGATTTATCTTTCTTGTTTACTTTTTTATGTTCCATTTACATCTAGTATTTGAAAGTCATATTTGCTCTGATCTTTTCATCTGGGATGCTTGAAAGTCCTCTATTTCATTGAATATCCATTTTCCCCCTGAATAATTATTATCAGTTTTGCTGGGTAGGTGATTCTTGGTTGTAATCCTATCTCCTTTGCCATCTAGAATATCATACTCTAAGTGCTCCAGTCCTTTAGTGTAGAAGCTGCTAAAGCTTGTGTTATCCTGATTATGGCTCCATGATATTTGAATTTTTTCTCTTTGACTGCTTGCAGTATTTTTCCTTGATCTGGGAGATTTGGAATTTGGCTATAATATTCCTGCGAGTTTTCATTTTGGGATCTCTTTCAGAAGGCGATCAATGGATTCTTTCCATTTCTATTTTACCCTCTGGTTCTAGAATATCAGGGCAGTTTTCCTTGATAATTCCTTGAAAGATGATGCCTAGGCTCTTTTTTTGATCATGGCTTCCAGGTAGTCCAATAATTCTTAAATTATCTCTCCTAGATCTATTTTCCAGGTCAGTTGTATTTCCAATGAGATATTTCACATTGTCTTCTATTTTTTCATTCTTTTGGCTTTGTTTTATTGTTTCTTGATTTCTCATAAAGTCGCTAGCCTCCATTTCCTCCATTCTAATTTTTAAGGAATTACTTTCTTCAGTGGGCTTTTGGACCTCCTTTTCCATTTGGCCAATTCTGCTTTTTAAAGAATTCTTCTCCTCATGGGTTTTTTGGACCCCTTTTACCATTTGGCCTAGTCTGTTTTTTAAGGTATTATTTTTCTTTTTTAAAATTTTCATGTTAGTCATGTTTTAAAGAAGAATTAGAATCAATAGGAAGAACCACAGAAAAGAAGAAATAAGACAAAAACGGAAACAAGAAAAACAAAGAGCCAACAGTCTGCTTGGACCTGCACTCAGACTCCACGGCTCTTTCTCTGGATGTGGACCGCATTTTCCATCATGAGACCCTTGGAGATGTCTTAGATCCTTGCATTGCTCTTCTCAAGAGCTAAGTCTATCAAAGCCAGTCATTGCACAGTGTGGCTGTTACTGTGTACAACATTCTGAAGGTGTTCTTTTCCTCAGTATTTTTTTTGTCTCCTTTACCCAACTGTTGACTCATTTTTCATGATTTTCTTGCATCACTCTCATTTCTCTTCCCAATTTTTCCCCTACTTCTCTTACTTGATTTTCAAAATCCTTTTTGAGCTCTTCCATGGCCTGAGGCCAATTCATATTTTTCTTGGAGGCTTTGGATGTAGGAGCTTTGACTTTGTTGTCTTCTTCTGAGTGTGTGTTTTGATCTTCCTTTTCACCATAGTCAGAGTTTTTCCCACTATTTGCTCATTTCCCTAGCCTATTACTCTTCTTTTTTTTTTTTTAATTCTTTGTTAAGGTAAGGCTCTGATGCCAGGGTGGAGAGTGAATTGTCCCAAGCTACAGGGGTTTTGTGCAGCTGTCTTCAAAGATACTTCTGGGGATCTCTAAGTTTTCAGTTCTTCCAGGGTGGCATGATCTAAGGAGAGGTGTTTACTCCTCTCCTGGCCTGTGTTTTGGTCTGTGAGCTATCACAAACTCTTTTCTGCCCTGGAACTGTGAGGAGGGTCCCCTCTCCACTGCTGCCACAGGCTCTTCCTCTCCCCAGGACTGTCACCCAGGACTGCAACCCAGATCCAAGTATGGGCAAAGCAACAGAGTCCTGCTCAGTGCTAGCAAAGAGACCCCTGTAATCTTCAGACCAGTTGTTGACCCCCTTACAGGCTGTGGGCTGAGAGCTCTGGAAGCAGCCGCTGCTGTTGCTGCCACCGCTGCCACCATTGCTGATTCAGTCACTCTCAAGGCCTGCTCCTGGTTTGCTGGGGCTGTGGTGCTGGTCAGGCCTGCTCTAGACTGTGTTCTTGTCTTGCCAGACCTTTCCTGCTGACCTTCTAAGTTGTCTTGAGCTGGAAATTTGTTTCACTCTGTCTTCTTGTGGGTTCTGCTGCTCTAGAATTTGTTTAGAGTCATTTTTTAAAGGTGTTTGGAGGGATTTGGATGAGAGCTCAGGCGAGTCTCTGCCTTTACTCTGCCATCTTGGCTCCATCTCCACAGGCTTCTGACCTCTACCCAAATTGGAAAGCCTTGATAAATGCTCTAGTGTGAGGGACCTCATGTCCTTGGGAGGCTGTCCTCACCACTCTTGAGACTGGGTCACTGCATAATATCATACTAACAACATTTGAAAGCACCTAGGTGATGTAGTACACAGGGTGTTGGGCCTGGAATTAGGAAGACCTGAGCTCAACTGTGGCCTCAGACACTTACTAGCTGTGTAACACTGTCTGCCTCAGTTTTCTTAATTGTGAAATGGGGATGATAATAGCTTCCCTGGGTTATTGTAAAGATTAAATGAGATAATATTTGTAAAGTGCTTAGCACAGTGCCTGACACAAGTAGGTGCTTAAGAACTGCTTATTTCCTTCCTTCCCATTTTATCCTGCTACAAAAGATCAGAGGATCCTGGGCTCAGAGGTAGAGGGGTCCTTAGAGGACATGAGTCCACCCTCCCATTTTATAGATGAGGAATTGAGGCTCCTCAGAAGAGGGGAAGGGTTGCTCACAGGTGGTCTTTGAGCCTCTGATTTCAAGCCACTCTCCAGCCACCACTCCAGGCTGACTCCAAAAGGCAGCTTTACAAAGCAAACAGCGATTCTGAGCAGCTTTGGGAGGCAGTGGGAGCATCACTGTCTCCCTTTTACAGATAAAGAAATAAGTACAAACATCTAGCAACTTGCCCACAGCCGCACAGCCAGGAAGTGTTGGAGCTGGGATCCCTGGAGCCTAGGACTTTTGGTGCTCAGTCCACTGCTCTGTCCCCTGGACCATGCTGCCTTAGTCAATCCAGCTGAACCAAATTTTATTAAGTGCCTACTATGTGCCCAGCGCTATGCTAGGTGTTGGGGGACAGACAAGAAGGAAATAGCCTCTGCCCTCAAGGAACATCCATCCCACCATGTTCCAGTCCATTCCTCTTTGTCTTGGGCTGATCATCGTCAGCTCATCCCTCTGTCCTTAGGTGCTCGAGCTCTTTGGGGTACCTGGGCTATGTCATGATCCATATGTATCTGGTGCAGACACAAGACACCATTTCCATTTGGCTGGAGCTCATGCTTCCATCCAATCCTGCCTTCTATTACCCTTTGTTCATATGAAAAATCCCATCCCACTTTTCATCCTGGCTCAGTCTTTGCCTGGGTTTGCTTGGGTTGCTCTTCCAGCTTGGGAATCTGAGCTCCTTCTGTGTCCCTGGAAACTGTGATAGTGGTGGCAGTGCAGATGCCTTGTTCTGGCATCTCTCGAGTCTCTGTTAAACCCAGGGAAAGATTGATTGTCCTCCCAGGACTGCTCGAGCTTCCAGGCTCAAACATGTTGACACCCTCTTTCCAACTGGCTGAATTTCTCTTGGCTCTTTCCCAATTTTCTATTAATTCCTTCCTTGGCTCCCGGGCCCCTTGCGTGATTATGACAGATTTTTTTTTCCCTATCTTTCTGGTCTGGGCACCAGATTGTTCTGGAGAACTTTGGTGTAGGGGAGGGGAAGAGGAAGTCATTCTCCAAAGCCTCTGCCCAGTGTCCCTATAGGAGTTCTAGAGTCAAGAGTCCTGGCTCAGCCTCCAACTGAGAATTTCCTGGGAAGACTGTTCTGGCTCCTTGACTCCCCATTTGGGCTTCCTACCCACCTCTGCTAGGACTGCTGTTTGACCCCAGAGATGTGGTGGGGTATCTTGGGCAGAACATTAGGTCCTGGGATTGGTCCAGCCTTGGACAGGGGTTGATAAGGACCCATAGGTTATAGCTCAATCCCTTCTTTGGGCCTCAGTTTCCTCATCTGTAAAATGAGGGGGGTTAGATGGCCTCTGAGGTCCCTCCCAGCCTCCAATCAGTGGTTCTATTTCTTCAACAAATATTCATGGAGTACCTACTGAATACCAGGTACTTCTATGACCCCCTGAATACAGGCTGAGCTTAAGGCCAACCTCTGAAATGTATTGACTAGTTAATCTAATAAATGTTTAAAGACCACAGTTCTTGTTTATAGTCTAGTAGGAGGAAAAAATCACAGTCTTTCACTGGAATTGAGACTTTCAGTGGCGTGCCTTTGTTCTATACATGAGGGGTGGTGTGGTATTGTGGATAGAGCCCTGGGCTTGGAGTCGGGAAGACCTAGACTTGAATCTCACCTTTGGCATTTGCTAGTTATATGACTCTGGCCAAATCTTTGAGCCTTTGGTTCCTTCTCATGTGTGAAATAGGAATAATTTCTGACAGAGTTGTCATCCACACTGATGACATCTCAGATGAGATGTCTGTAAAGTGCTTTGAAAACTTGGAAGAGTTCTGTGAATTTCAGTTAGTATTATTGTTATTCTTTGTCCCCAGATTATAAATTCAAAGTCATACTAGCCTTGGTTTCTCATGGGGAAACTATGGGGGGGGGGTGGAGTCATGTCTTCTTTTACTGAAGGCTTGGAAAATTGCAGAGGATCCTTTGCAGTGAGAAAGCTCTCACACTCATGTGGTTTCAGGACTACTTCTGTGTGTCCCTCCTCCCTATGATCTCTGACTTGGTAGCAGGGAGGGTCATTCCATCTTCTGTCCTTTGGAAATCCTCCTTGAAGGCCCTCAAGAGAGTCAGCTTCAGGGACCTTCTTTTCTTATTCTTCCAGAGGTTGCCCACAAAGAAGTAAATGGCAGGGTTGGCACTGCTATTTATGCAGGAGAGAAGCTCAAAGATAATAGAGATAGACCTATGGATAGCCACTTTGAACCCAAAATGGACAACAAACCAAACCTTCTGAGGAAGGCCAAAGAGAAGGAACATGAGGATGGTCACCAAAATGGTGATGTGGAGCTTGGCAGGGTGGTGCTGTTTGGGTTGCTGCCAGGACTTCAGGAAAAGAATCAAGCTGGACAGAACCATCAGGGGTGTAGACACCAGAAAGTTGAGTACACAGCTAAAGATACTGATGATGTATCTCCAGGTCTTGTAGGTATCCCCCATGTAGATCTCAAAGTAAAACTCCAGGACAGCCATGAAGACCGAGAGGGACCAGATGAAAGCACAGATGGAAGATTTCTTTTTCAAACGGTGGTATCTGTACCAGAGGGGAAAGAGCATGGACAGACACCTCTCCACACTGATGACCATCAGGAAGCCCAGCCCTGTATTGTATACAAATATGTTGAATACAAGAGTTCCGTGACATATATAAAACATGTGGCACTTGGTAAGAAGCTTGCTAGTATAGATATAAAGAATCTTGGCAAGATACCAAATTATTCGTCCCAGGAGGAAGCTGAAGTCAGCAACCGTCAGATTGAGGATGTAGATGGTAAAATGGCTTCTCTTAATGTGGAAACTGAGAAACCAGAAGACGACACCATTTCCCAGCAGCCCACAGAGGCAAGTGATCAAATTAAAGAAGATCGTGATGTGGGGTTCTGTGTCACGATCAGGTTTTGGAAAACAGGTAGTAATTTCCTGGCTACCATTACTGGAATCATTGCAGGTCATTTTTTTTTTTAACAGATAGGAATTGTAAATTTATGAAAAGGCAAATGTGCTGTCTCAAGAGGTGTTGGGTTTCCCCTTCTTGGAACTCTTCAAGCAGATGCTGAATGACCACTTGGGTATGTTACAATGGGGATACCTATTGTGTATGAGTTGGATTAGATGTCCTCTGAGGCTCTTCTAATTCTTAAATCCTGTGACTCTGCGGTACTGGATTGGTCTTGTCTGGAGGTAGTGGAATGTAACAGGGGCCTTCTGGATCTCTCTTATACACGTGCTAAAAATGAGAAGAGTGATGTGAGCTGAAAAATGGCATGGATAAAGCAGAGAAAGAGATCTATGGCACATCCTCAGTAATAAATGTGGATGCAAAAATTAAAACGAAATCATAGCAAAGGATCTCACCAATATATTTGTTATTCATAATGACTAAGTTGGATGTATACAAGGTATGAAAGGATAAGTCAACATTAAACAGTTAGCATGCAATAATTGTTCATGCAAACAACAGTAACAAAAACCATGGTGATTGTATCTCTTTCAAAAAAATAGATCTGTGATTTCATCAGCATTGGGCATTCCGTATGAGTCTCCAACTCCCTCTACCAATGCAGGTCAATGACTGCTGGGTAACTTCTAGTCTTAGAGCATTGTGTGAGGCAGTGAGAAGCTATGCACCTTGCTTAGGGTCACACAACCAGTATGTATCAGAGTCAAGACTTGAACTCAGATCTTCTTGGCTTCAATGCCAGATCTCTATCCATAATGCCACACTGCCTCTCTCTCCATCAATAAATGCAGAATACAGCACTTAGCCTCTAGTTAAAACATTGAAAAAGCACAGACATGATAGGTCCCTTCTTCAGAATGAACTGGTCTATATCTAAAAGGAGGAGACCTTATTGTTTCTCATGACGAAACACTGGAAGCTTTCTGACTTTTGGACATAATTCTGTAAATGCTACGGTAGTGATACAAGAGTGAGGAGCTATAGATGGAAACCTCAACAAAGAGGAGACAACATCATTGTGTTCTGTAGATGACTGGATGACTTAACTTTCGAAAATCCAAGTGAATTCATGAAGAAGTTAATTGAGTGGATCAATAGTATCAGCAAAGTAGAACAGTACAAAATAAACAAAATCATTGGCATTTCTATATAAGTATGAGCCCCCCCCCCAAAAAAAAACGACTGTAAGGGAACCATGGTAAGGGAAAGTCCATTTAAAATAACTGCAAAAGGTATAAAATATCTGGGAGTTTAAAGGAAAACATGAGGACAAATATTGATTATTTATGAATGAGCTTTGCCAACATAATAAAAAGTACTATACAACTGGAGTGGGTGCAATATCCTAAATTCTGACCCCCTTCCCTCCCCCTGCCCCATGCAGGTTGGCCACTAAGTGTCACTGAACCTAGAGTCAGGAAGACCTGAGTTCAAATCTGGCCTCAGATGCTAGCTGTATGACCCTAGACATCACTTAATCTCTGTCTGCTGCAGTTTCCTTAGCTATAAAATGGGGATAATAACAGCATTTACCTCTCAGGGTTGTTGTGAGAATCAAATGAGATTATATTTATGAAGCACTTAGCACGGTGTCTTGCACATATTAGGTGCTCTATAAATGCTTATTCCCTTCCTCTCTGCCCCCCCATTCTCATGTAAGGTAGGCTAAAAGTATTGGACATTGCTTGAGACTTGTTTGGCTGAGGGGATCAAAGGTTCAGACTATTGACCTCATTTCTTCACGTGGTGGATGACGATGGGGGACACAGGCAAGGGAGCTATGCTCAGCTGAATCAATTTCAAGTCTCCTCAACGCCTAGTGTTCTTGAATATCTTTCTCTTGCTGTGGGTAAGCAGATATTGTTGTTAACTGGTCAGCTGCCTCAGGAGTATCTCATTTTGTGTCTGCATTGCTGGAATCCATTAGATTGTGAGCTCCTTGAAGGCAGGGACTGACTTTTGCCTCTTTTAGACTCCCCAGTGCTTAGCATGATGCCTGACACATAGGAGATACTTCTTATTAACAAATATTTATTAATAGATTGATTGATATAAAAACTAAACCACTGGGGGACTGACAGGTTCAGGGCTTATGATGCCCAAGCAAGTGCCTGGAGTGACTTAGAGAGACAGTGATTCTATAGGATGAACAAGGATTGGCCATGCTCCCCTGGGGAACCTTTAAGAGTTCATCTTGGGGGCAACTAGGTGGTGCAGTGGGTAGAGCACCGGCCCTGAATTCAGGAGGACCTGAGTTCAAATATGACCTCAGACCAAACACTTGACACTTACTAGCTGTGTGACCCTGGGCAAGTCACTTAACCCCAATCGCCTTAAAAAAAGAAAGAGTTTATCTTAGAAGTCCAGGCCGAAGTCAGCTTCAAAGAGGAAGTGAGCTCCTAAGAAGGCATATAGAAGATTCAGTCAGTCAGCTACCAAGCATTTATTGAATGCCTGTGATGTGCCAGACATTGTGATAAGCTGGAGAAAGGTGAACAGTGAGAACTGAGTACAGGTTGGGCAGAGGCGGATGCCATAAAGAGCCAGGCCAAGACTCCAGGAGCAAGGGATTGTGGGTAGCTCAAGTGGAAAGAGTATCAGGACAGACTGTTGTTGAAATCTCCCCCCATGCAGTACACACCCCTAGGTGCTAATTCTGTATCTCCTGTATCTCTTTGGGCACAGAGAAAGTCTGCTTACTTTCTTCACTTTAAACATTTACTTTATCTTTATAAACAGTGTTAACCACAGGCATTTGCTCATCTGGGTGTGGTTCGGGAATGAAGTTAAGAGGAAACAATGGAGGGGGAGCACTTTAAGGGAAGAGAAAGGGTTCTATCCAATGCTGCATGTTTTCGTGCTGTTGCAGCTGGGGCTTCAAAGCTAGAAAAGATGAAGAATTACAGATCTTTTGACACAATGCCCCAGAGTAGGAAGGAACAGTGATGCTAGGAAGTCCACGGAGCAGTAAGTCAGAAGTACTGTGAGAGGGGGTGGCGAATGGGGGCAGTTCTCACCAGCCCACCTCAGCCCAACTGCTGTAATGGACAGAACCCTAAAATAAACCAGGTTACTGTCGTGCCCAATCTCAGACCCAGAGAGCTAATGCTGAGGTGGGGAACTTTGAGTATGGGACAGGACATAGGTTCTCAGCCTTGGTCTCTTGTGACTGTTTGACACAAAGAGTTTTCTTTGTTAATAATAACAGCACTTTTCAAATGTCATCTCATCTTACCCTCACAAACACCCTGGGAGGAATGCTATTATTATTCCCATTTTATGTAGGAGGAAAGTGAGGCAGCCAGCAGTCAGGTGACCTGCCGAGGATCATGTAGGATTTGAACCCGTCTTCCTCACTGTGAGTATGGCATCCACTGTGCTCTGAGCTGCCTCTTATTATAAGGGAAGGTTCAGGAGTGGTATGCAAGGATAGGAAGGGGCCTATGATTATGACATAATTTAAAAAAAAACATCATTAAAAAACCCAACTACATTGGCAGAGAATGAACCTGTGAGCTGGGCATGGGTGGTGGGCAGCATCTTTCATAGCATCATAGAGCCAGAAAGAAGCATGGTGGTCATCGTGTCCATTTTATAGATGAGGAAACTGGAGCTTAGGGGGTGGTGATGAGGTCACATATAGTGGGTGGCAGAGCTGGGATTCAAGGCCAGATCATCTGAGTCGAAGCTCAGCATATCCTCTAGGGCTGAAGGAAGTCTGGGCTCCACTCTGAGGCGCCTAGGACTCCAGGAGGCAGCAATTATAGAAGATTGAGGTTTGGGTCTCACTTGCTGTTCACCAGATGCTAATTCCCATCTAGGATCCAGAGTGAGTGAGGGCCAGCCTGGCTTTGAGTTCATGCTTCAGGTTAGGTGAAGCCCCTGGTATTGAGTGCCACAAACCAGCCTCTTCTTGTCTGAACGTTCTCTGAAAAATCCGTCCTGCTTATGGCTCTGTTCATAGTCACACAAAGAGCTCATACTTACGTAGCACTTTATAATTTAGAAACCACTATGACCAGAGAGGTAGGTGGTGCAGACATTATTCCCACTAGACAGATAAGGGAACTGAGGCCCAGAAAGAGGAAGTGATCAGCCTGAGGTCATACAGCTAATGAATGGCTGGGTCACAACTTGAATCTACTGCCCTTTTCATATCAGCAAACAGAATGAAGAAGGCTTGAATTGAAAGACAGCAGGGAACAGCTATCCTTCCTATGGGAGCTGCTTCTGGGAGCTTTCCTGGTTCATCGTGTGTGTGTGTGTGTGTGTGTGTGTGTGTGTGTGTGTGTGTGTGTGTGTGTGTGTGTGTGTGTGTGTGTGTTAGAGCTTATTTCCACGCCTCCCCCCCATCAGCAAATATAATTAAATACTGTTACTCTCTATGCCCTGAACTTGGGGGAGGGAAGGAGGAGGAAGAGGAGGAATTGCATTGAATTGTATGTGACCTTTATATTTCTACTCTACTTATCTTCTATTTGCCTAGATCTGAAGATTCGTTAATTAAATTCAGTTATAACCTACACCTCCTCCCCCTCCCCACCAGTACCCTTGCCGCCTTTAGGTTCTGTGTGGGCTGTTTTGGGTAATCATTTATGCCATTCACAGTTGGAGTCCCTATCTGGGGCATTTCATTTTTATAGCCTATGCATGAACTATGTGCACACACTTTATCCCTCCAGCAAAATGTAAGCTTCCTGAGGGCAGCTGGAGAGTTTTTTCTTTTACTTCCTTAGTGGCTGGCATAATGGCTTACACATTTTTTTGGAGTGGGGTGTTTTGTACTGGACCTATAATTTCCTCAGTAGAGAGAATTCCTGCTGAGGAGACTCCCTTTACAATGCAGATTAAGCAATTTGTCTGTATTTTATCCTAAAGGCAAGAGGGAGCCAATGTGATGTGGTCAGATCTGAGCTTTAGGAGGATACTTTGCGTGGGGGAGGGACTGGAGAGGGGAGAGACTGGAAGCCAGTAGAGAGACCAAATAGGAAGCTGTTGTAATTGTGTGGGGAGAAGTGTTGAGGGACTGACCAAGGGTGATGGCCATTTCAGTGAAGAGGAAGTGCGAATTCAGGAGATGTTGTGGAGGTAAAATTGACAAGATTTGACAAGCGATTAGCTATGGGAGCGGCGAGGAGGCAATGAGAGTGGTGAATGGGGAATGACTCATTCTCAACCTGGGAACCTGGGAGGATGGTAGTGCCCTCACAGACAGTAATAGGGAAGTAAGGAAAAGGGGGAGGTTTGGAGGGAAAGGTGATGAGTTA